TATTATCTTGGATGCACAAAGATGCTCATTTTATCACTACATAAAAAGTTGTGGATTTTTCCCACAGTCTTTTTCCATAGCATTTCACGTGCTTTGCCATAGGAAAATGAATGTGAAAGGTCAGACACACAGAACAGAAAAGGATACCCATTATCTTGTTGTCATCAGGCATTAATATAGAAAATATATGCAATTTTTTCAAGGAAGATGATATTGGATGACTGGATGCTTTAGAATTGGATTCTAAAATGTAAGGGGATATAAATCCTTGGGATATGACTCCAAATCAGCCAAGCAACCTCCACCTCATCCAAGCCACCACAGCCATTGCCAGTCCTTTTAACAACTTATTTAACATTTGGTTATTAATGCAGCATATCCTGTCTTGGTTCTGCAAAGTTACTCATTGCTGATATTCTAAATATATGTGGAATTGCAGCTAAATCAAAGGGAAGGTTTAAGTAGTACTTTATTATGTATTACATACTTGCAAATACATGAACTGCACAGGGAATATAGAAAGTATTTAAAAGAGGAGGTCTGTCTCTAATTAAACTGTCTGACTAGTTTATGCCATACTGCTTCCCTTTTTATTTTACCTGTTACCAAGGGCTCAAAAATACCTGTCCTCAGCAGAAGGGAGGAATGTCACTATCTGCAACAAGATCACTGGGTCAGCAGTTTGGATGGTGGACAGAGATTCAAACCTTGCACATGGATGGAATGATGTGTTTGAGCAACGTGAGTGGGGGGAAAGAAAGGGAAAGAACAGCCCTTCCACCTGCAAATCCCAGAGGATCCTAAACTGGTCACTGCCTGCCAGGCAATTTCACATCCCACTCATTAGCTGTGCAGGAATTTCTGAGTTTCATGTGTTGGTGAGGCTGAGTGGGTCACTGTAGTTCAAAACAAAGAGGTCCAAGATTCCTGTCCAAACAGCTGTGCTTCATATTTGAATTTTAGCCTTGTGCACTGTAAAAAACCTCAGGCCCAGTGCTCCCCGAGGAAGTCTTGCATAAGTTTTGTTCTCACTTGGTGGAGCACAGAGAAAATAAAAGGTCCAGACTTCAGCTGACCTTGGAACATTGAGAGTAGATGGTCAAATCCCTCTTACATATCTGTGTATATTTAACTCCTGTGAACAGTAATGGGACAAACATCTGCAGAGTGAGGAGCAGCTACAGCCCTAAAGAAAGCAAATTAGGAAGAGCCAAGAACAATCAAACTTGGTTAGAAAAATTTTAGAATTTTGCCAATGCAATATCTGGTCCAGAATTACTTTATAGGTTAAGCAAAACTCTCCATCTGCATTGGGATTTCATCTTCCCAGCAGAACTTAGCTCTTTACCAGCTTTTTGGTGCTTTAGCCTCAATAAGCAAAGCAAGAACTCCAAGAACTCTCAAGCAAAACGGAAGCAGCTGCTTGCAGAGATGAGACAGGATGGTAAAAGAAACCTCTTGGGAATGCTGTGACAGGCACAGTGCTTACAGACTGCAGAGATGTGAGAAGGAGGGAATGCTCTTCAGTTTTGTGATCTCTTCTGCCTGGTGGGAAAGTGGTTTTGGAAGAGTGGGAAATTCATATGAACTTGATTTGGTATTTCTGAGGACAGAAGTTCTTTATTGACAGCCTGGGTGGTGCTAACATCAATGCACCCCCGTGCATTTCATTGCTACTGTACACAGAATACTTCTTGTCTTTAAAACATTGGCTGTTCCCAAACTTTTGACTAGCAGTTATTTTGGATTAATTTTTTGGAGACACTAAGATTCTGTCAGCAAAATTTGGACTGAAACCACTGATGCAATTTTCACAATCTATTGCTGAATATAGCAGTCACCTTGTTTTACTTTTCAGTTGCCACCAGCTTGCCTTTGACCACATTGCTAAATGGAGGGCTGAAGCCTTCATCTGAGAGATTCAGCCACAAGATGATTAATAGAGAGTGCACAGTCAATTCCCTCATGACTCTACAAAAACTGTAGGCAAACCTTCAGCAGCCCATCAATAATATTTTGAGCCTTCCATGCTCCTCTGATTTCCCCAAAGAGATTGTCAGATCAGTGTGAGAAACACAAGGGTCAGAGTGGAATATGTGCACTTGACTGAGTAACTGCTGTGAATCCTGTGAGCTACAGGAGTCTATTCCATGCAGGACTTTCCAGGAAGGCAGGAGAAAGATGTCTTCTGTTCCTCTGACAGAAAGGTGCTTGTAAAGAGGAAGATATTCAACCCAATAAAGACCTACAGAACAAAAAAAAAACGAAAGGAAAACTGGCTGTTTCTTAGAGACTGCATGACTGGTCAAATACTTCCAGAACCATGTGAGAACTTCTCTATTTACATATGAGCTTAACACAGAAGAAGAACCCACAATAAAAGAGGAAACAGAGCAACCGTGTGATCTCAATAGAGCCACTCAAGTGCCTGCTTTATCTCCAGAGGTGTGGCAGAACATATGAGCAGGTTGAACTGGCATGTATTGTCTCTCTGGGAAAATGGAGATCCTAACTACTGTCACATTTGGAAAAGACACTGCATATGCTTCTTTGTCACTTAAATTTCCTCGATTTTATCAAGTTATCTGCTCCAGACCTTAAGTGGAAATGCTGGTCACAGCTAGTTCTGTTTCTGTATCTAGGCAGCCATAGGAAGCAAATCAAAGAACAAGCACCACAAGTGTGGCCTCTGTATTTCAGGCAGGTGCTGGTTGGCATTGCTTATGACACAGCCTCCCTCTGGTAGAAAACATGTATAAAAGTAAATTATTTGATTGCAAAAAACCTTTGTGGAGGTGATTTAAAACAAAGCAGTACCCAGAATCCAGGGTGCTGAAACCCCTCAAAGGAACAGCAGTTCAGTAGGCATAAATGGACACATACAGTCCTTGGGGCTGTTCCTAAAGGCTTTTAAAATTCTTTTGTTTCTTTAAGAGAATATTGTCCTCTGAGACACTATGACTAGGAGAAGGTGGAACTATTTCCAGCTTTGTCAAGCTCTGAAATAATGAAAAGGTCAATCATTCCCTATTCTTCCCACTCATCTTCCCACTCTTCTTCCTGACATGCTGGCACACTTCTGTTGTATTGGTTTGGTCATGCTTATGAAACAAATCTTAACAAGGTAATACTCATCATTTTTGAGCTATCTGGAATGATTTCTGCTGTTTGGTTTCCCCACATAAACACTTTGTTATGTGGAACTGATCATTTTAAGTTGTGTTGAATGCATGGTTGTGATGGTGTTAATTCCAGCTTTAATGTAGGGAAGCATAAATGTCTCTGTTTAGCCACTGTCAATGATAACAGAACCTAACTCACCTGAATTGTTGTGAATTCTCATATTTAATCCATTCAGTTTCATGATCACATAGCTTTTTAAAAATTTTCACTCTCTTCTGCCTCTGGCACTCACCATCTGTTATTCCTCTAAAATTGGCTTGTATATGCCGAATAAACAACCTTCTGTTTTTGTTATTCATATGCCATGTTATGCAAAATCTGTAAACACAAGGCTTCTCACTAATTATTAAATTGCCACCATTTATTATATGGAATTATTTATTTAATTTATTCCAACAACTTTTTTTCCCTCTTAATTCAAGATAGTCCAACACATTTGAAAAGTAGATGCCTGGACAGATAAGTAATAGATTAAACTTCCTTTTGGTAGAACAGGAAGAATAGCTTTAAATTATTTAAAGTGCTGGCACTTCAGAGAAATGGATTTTCCCATTTAGAGCTTGCTTGGTGCCTGAAACAATATCACAAGCAATTTTGACCAGAACAGCTATGTGATTTAAATAATAAAACAGAACTCACATAGAGTGCAATATCAGAGCAGTTTCTAGAATACCCTTTCAAAGTTATTAATGCATCCTGAATTGTATCAATGGTAAACTGGTATTTTGAAGGACTCCAAAACTTTACCCAATGCAGAGAAGCTGGTCAGTGTGGAGAAAAGAGTGACCATGGAAAAACTGAATGCCTCTGCAGAGAAATAGGTTCCTGCCTTGTTTCCTCCCATCTTTACAAACAAGACTAGTTTCCAAATGCAGCTGAATGGAGACTACAAACCTGCTTTTACTCTGTGTGACTAACAGAGGGGAAACTCTCCCAGCATTGGGAAAATAATGATGGTCCTGTTATTCTGAAGGATATAAAAACTGGCCTGGGAAGAGGAGCATTTTCAGACTGACCAGCAGCATGTGCACACTGGCACCTTTCCTTTTCTGTTTACTGTGTTTACATAAATATTCACTAAGTGTTTATTTGTAAGGCTTCAGCTGGCACTTCCTGTACACCCTAAAATTTCATCAGCTTCAGGGAGTGCATTACAGGATGCCAGCTCAGGCTTAAGATCTTGAATCATGCATTGCATATTTCCTGCTATCTGAATGAAAGCCTGCTAGCACACTTCCCAATCCAACGCCAGACCTCTGGTGAATATTTATATTGGAAGTCAAAATCTAAAAAGACGAGGCTGCTTTGGAAATTCTGCTCTTAGTGACACAACAATTCATCACTTCTTTGCAGTTTTGGAGCTCTCATAACAAACATAGCACAATGAGGTCTGAATCAAAGCAAGTAGCCAAAGTTAGTGGTGGTGTTTTCCTTCCTACAGTTTCTGCCAGTCTCAGTGGAGGATGTTTATTACAAACTTTTACAAATTATATGTTAACATAAACCCAAGTTAAGTCCTTGTCTGGAACAAGCTCTTGTACTACTAGTATGAAGTTGTCTAAAAATACAGCTCGGAAAAGGGTATGACTTGGAATAAATAGAGTCATTTCAAGGGTAATTTGGGTTGCTATGTCTTCAACACACAAATGAGAAATCTGTGATTGCTGAGCAGATTGGGTTTCTGGTTATTCTTTAATGTGTTTATATTTTCTGAAGCAGCCCTTGGAAATACTGTCAGGACTGTGTTGAGGATTAAGTTTATTAGTGCTGCTTATTTCTTGGTAGGAGATGGATAAGGCCACTATGATTCCATCATTTCATAATGCTTACAAATCAGGTGCCCACTAAAGTGCCTCTAGTACCAGATAAACAGAGGACCAGTCCCACCCTCTGGAATAACTTCCATATTTATTGTTGCTTGAAAGTTTCCTGTAGCATCTTCTTTGACCTTTCAGTCACCCTAAGGAAAGCCATGAGCATGTGAATGCAAACGTTATATATCCCTGACAATTTCCATGCTCTGTCTCTCCTCACAGCTAAGACATGGAAGAAATTTTTAAAAATAAAACAAATTGGCATTTCTTGAAGAGAATAGGTTATGGAACTATGTCAAACAGAACATTGAAGCAGAATAAAGCCTGCCAGTAAATTTAACTCTTTCTAGAGTTTTATTGCTTATGGTAATTATTAACATCTTTAGTTAGAACACCATTTGGATATCATTAAAATAAATGCAAACAATCTTGGCCTATCCTTAAGAATCTTTTTTAGACACACTCTTTTTGTCACTCAGCTCACTAATGGATCATTTTTATCATAGAGTATAATGTTACCTACATTAAACAGCTTAGCAACTTCCAATGTCCTGTTGAGATGAAAATAAAATTGCACAGATTCATCACTACTCCAAAAATGACTCGAAACAAATGCTTGTGATCTTTATCTTCACTTAGCAAAGACTTGCCAGCCAGTGTGTTCTCAATATCAAGTCTCTAAGTTCATGCTGTGAACCTGAACCTTCTGGAGCCCAAGGCATTCTCAGATGGAACTTTGCCTTCACTTGGGTACTTGGGTTGCAGCATCTCTGTGTTTTTTATGGCTGTGAAGCAACAAGAGGGAGGAGAGATGGACTCGAACTGAAATGAAGTCTGCCCCTGAATAATTTAAAGCAGTAATTTAAATTAATCTATTTTGTCACTGAAACAGGCCACAAGCATTCACTAGGGTGAGCACCTTCTCAAATTGCCCCTCTAGATCCACTAATGGATATCCAATTGCATGTTCATCAAGGCTCTTCCAGTACTGGCTAATTACCTCTTCCAAAGCCAAGAACTTTGGCTATTGGGTTCTTTTCATGTCACTTCTGTAGAAGTTCTGATTCGTCTTGAATTAATTTCATCCTTAATACAGCCAAATAACTAAATTACTTCCTTTCACAGACTTTTCCAAGTGATCTTCCAAAGCACACAAATACTCTCTGAATTATAGATAAGGCCACTTAGCAAACAATACATTTCAGCACGTTACAAGTGCATACTCAAAGGATCGTTTTTGTTATTGAACACACCAGTCATGGTTAAAAAATTGTATCTTCATAGAATAGTTTTGAAGATAACAACAAATGAACAAAACAAAATGTCAACAAAATACAGTATTTTTTCCCCCTGTTTACATGGAGAAAGGAATTTGAGTAAAGAATTTTTGTCTCATCCTCTGTAGAATAACATCAGGAAATCTGTGTGGCAGGATCTTTGTGATTTTTTTCTGTTTGTTTCCTCCACAAATATTTCCTCCCATAGAAGGTAAGTGGGAGAAAGAACAAACTGGAATAACTCCCTCAAGCATCCTCTGAGCAGGAGAGCTACTTATTTTTAGGGGTTGGGTTTCTTGTTTTGTTTTGACTTTTGAAGTTCAATGCATAAATGAGAAGACCAAGCAGATTTACTGAGCAGTCTGTGCCCTCAGGGAAACACAGATCTGCACGACCTACTCAGTGACTTCCAGGCTTTGTCAGTAGGGCTGAAAAGTCATGGTTCCATGATCATTGTCTTAAAAATTTTAAACTGGATTAAGTGCAGATTTACTTACAAAAGTAAGTCCTGAAACAGCAGAAGTATTTGCCCTATATGCTGAGAAGTTTACTTCATGGTATACATGAAGAAATATTATGTTTATAGGTCTCTGGCTGGATATTCTGTCTCCATATATATGTGGCTGTGTTTGAATACTTATTGAACTGATTTACTGGATTGCTACAGAAATCCTGGCAGTTTCTAAGGTACCAACACTCCTCAGGTCAACAACACTCCTCAGGTCAACACTCAGGTGAATATTGAATATTTCAATATTGTCCTGAGATTTCTTTTAGCCAGTTTAGACATGTTTCATTCACAGCAGAGAAACCTAAATAGAGTTAAATGCCTCACTCTCAGGGATACAGCTGACATCTTGCTGGTTTTCCCTGGAAGAGTTCAGCCTGCTGCTCTCCAGTGACATTACTCTGAGCTGATTTAGCTCTTCCCCTCCATTCATTAAGGAAGAGATGTGCCTAATCCTGGAGCAAAAATCCCTGCTAGCTGGCAGGATGCCTTTAAGTGAGGGGTGGTGCTAGCCAGAAATGTGCTCTCTGCAGATTCAGCCCTGCACTACTTCCAGATAGAACTGATCTCTTCAAATATTAACTGATCAAATTGTAGTTAATTAAAATTTGCTTTCACTTAAAGGTCATTTTAAGTTATGAGGATGCAGGAACAAATAACAACCAGCTCTATTCAGGAAAGAGGTGGTTTCCACTGAAAACATAGTTAAATAGCTATTATCCATGCCCAACACATTTTCTTCTTTCTGTGGAGTAAATATTCTACACTTTAATTTATGTGTGTTTGTTCTGTCCTCTAGCAAAAGAATACTGTTGTTATTTTAATATTCTTGTGTACAATATATTATTTTAAGAGTCATTTTAAATGGCTGTATTTGAAGTGGCTTAAAGTCTAGAATATGTTTTAGATATGCAAATGTTTTATGCTTGACTTCATAATTTCCAGCTGAAAGAAACTGTTATTGTGCAAAAGTTAAACTCAATCAGTGCCACACTTAAATTTCTTCACATAACTTGGAAAATTCTGTGCATCAGCATCACATCTGTACTTCTAATTGCCTTTCATATGATGCACTTGAAAATTATTTTAACTTGTGGATAGCTTGAATTTTTCTGGAACCTGAATTGATCTTAAGATTCCTAGACTCTGATAATATAATCAGGTGCATCCATCACAATCTTACCATCTAAATGAAAAAAAAAATAGTTTAATAGTGTTCTTTGGAGCTTATCTTTCTTTTAATAAAGGACCTTTTGAGGATGCAGAGACATTCAGTAGGGTCCCTTGAAACAGGCAGTAAAAGCCCAAGCTCTATTTACCCCTTTTACTTCTCTTCATATAAGAAAAAATATGCCAGCATGATGCTCTGATTATGTCTGACAAGCACTCTGATGGCAGAATTAGCTTCCACAAGCCAAATACCTTCTTGAAATATTTCTTGGCATTTTTGCCTGATCAGTAATTACATACCTGCCGATAACAGGAGGAAATGTTTTGTTGTGTCTGAAGATAGCTCAGGTCTCAAATTCTTACAGTTTCCATAGTCATTTCCTTCCTGTACTTGACTCCTTTCCATTCCAAACCAAGGCTTTTAGCAAGGAAAGGACGTGTCAGCTTCTGGACAAATGCCACCTGACCATGTATAGCATAATCTTATGAATGGAACAGAATGATGGGTATTTGGTCACTCATTGAATCATTGCTTATGCAATGCAAAATATGAGATTTTCAGCTCTTTTTAATTCCTCAGAAACAACCTAGCCAAAAAGCAGCCCAGCATAAAAACTTCTTTCCAGATTGTGTTTCTAGTTTTTTAAAAATGATAGTAATACAGACGATTTGGGTTTTTTCCACAACATGAAAGACAGGATATAATTTCCAGTCTAATATTTAGTATAGATAACTCTGAGTATTTTATGTTCTTTTTTCCTGCTCTTTTTCCTGGAATGTAATAAAAGTTTGTGGCCGTTGCTTAGTGTGTAATTTAGACTCCTAAAAAAGTGCTTTGTTTTCCATAAATACCAGCCCTCTGAAGGTTCTTAGTGTACTCCTGAGCATCAGCTCTCTCTGTCAGCTTCTCTGTGTCTCTCTTTTCCAGGAATGTAACTTTTCAAGCATTTGTTTTCATAGCTTCACTTTAATATCCTGTGCTTTTGTTGTAAAAGTACAACATTGCCATTTCCACCAAACACATTGGGAATCACAGGCAAAGAAAATACAAGTGGAAAGGATGAATCCCCAACTGGTGATCTTTTTTTTCTGCTTTCTGGCAAGAAATCCTCTGATTCAAACTGAGCAAGTGGCTGCTTACACAACAGGGTTCATGAGCAGACTTCTTAAAAACACTACCATATGCCAAATGTGTCAAAAATAATTTTATGTTCATCTAATTTCCGCTTGATTTTTTTTTTTTCTAGATGGCCTACCAAAAAAATCCACAAACTAACAAATAAAAAACCACAAACTAACCTCTTTTCTTCTGTTTTGGGACTGAGGGGCAGAGATTTCAGGGATTTTTTCCAACATTGGAAAGAAGGCAAGCAGGTTGGCACTTAGGCAAGAAGGCTGGTATTAAGGGTAGCATTCCAGAAGCAGCCAGTACTGGCCTAATATATCTGTGTGTGTAAAAAAATCATTTATTTACTTATGGCGACAAAATCAAGGTCTTTTCTGGAAATCTCTGGGTTTTTATTCATATGCCATTACTTTTTTTCTTTCAGCCATGTAGGACATGACCTGATACCCTCAGCCACCCCAACCTCTCATGGAGGCAGCAGGCTCTAAGATGAGTTTAACAGAATGGTTTCCTGGCCATGAAATACAAGTGTTTAGATAACACACTTAGATTAATCCTCAGCACAGTTAGGTTCTTGTACTTGTGGATATTGATAAATAGGATGGACACAGGTCCACCCTGTACACACCTGGCTTTTGGGAGAGGTGGCACAGCTTTAAACTGCCAGATTCTTTGGTCAGAGAATAAAGTTGGTGTAACCATCTACCTTTTCTTTCATCTGTGCTACATCACATTAAGCAAAAAAAATGCAGCCTTTCATTTCTGAGAGTCTGCCATGGATAGCACTGCAGTCAGCAGGTTAGGGGTAAAACTGACTGGCTGGAATAACACCAGAGTGTCATTACAATAAAATATTGACTCACTCCCACTGCCTCCTTATCCCTCCATGCCATGCCTACAAATAACAAATTGGTGAGATTTCAGAGAGAAAAATAACACTTGTATTTCCAGAGCAGATAGAGGAAAATCTTTACAGTGTAGTAGACAAAAGGCTTGATGAATGTTGACCTCGGTGAACAATCTAGAAGTTCAACAAGGGATGTTACCTGCAGCTGCTGCCAAAATGTATCAAGAAAAGGTTTACAATTTGCTGAGGTGCAGCTGTTATGCAAAATACAGAATTTATGTAAATACTGAAATGCAGTATTAAGCCAGGCATATATTAAAACTTAAGGACAGCATGGAAGTTTAAAAGTTTCCATTCTGAGCTTTGGAAACTGTCCTTATGAATATCTACCCCAGATGTCAGTTTATCTCAAGAGTATCCATAGTGCTACGAAGTGTGAGCACAATTTCTGAACAAAATTCTCAATTTGTTTTGGATAGTGGCATTCTTGGAGGAAAGAAAGAATTTAATTAAATCCTATACAACATTTCTATTCATAAACTTGTCCAAACAAAACAAGTCATAAATCAATTCGGGTTTATTTATTAACTCTTGCAATATGGGTGGTAAACATACATTAAAAAAAAAAAAAAAACAACAAACTTGCAAACCAAAGCATTATAGCTAGAGATGAATGAAATTTCTTGATGAATACAAAATTGATTGAAAAATGAAATCTTGGACTTACTAAAACCCTTTGCAAACTCCGATCAGCTTCAGTGAGTAGCTTTGTTCCCAAACTGGGTGAGTGAACTACTTTCCTTTGAAGTGGAAATAAGTAAATAAATAAAAGTTTTAATTTCTTAAACCAGCATTACTTTTTTGAAAGATAATTTCAGGTTTTAAAAGGGGAGATCTCTTGAAGCCAAAATGGAAATACAGTCCTCTTGAACACACAAGGACAAAACAAAGCATTTCACATTATCCTGAAGGAAAACATCCTTATCCATGCTGCTCCAGCTCTGCTGTACTCTCCAGGAGCACTCATAACATCAGCTATATCATTAAACAAACAGTGCAATTATTCAAGAACTTCCACACACAGATGTGTTTTCTCCTTTCCTTACAATTTTTGGCTCCTAAACGTGTACGGATGTAGTCTTGACTCTCGTTGAACTTTGGAAAAGAAATTCATTCCATGTAAAAATCCATTTAGTGCAAATCGTCCTAATGAATCTCCATGGATGCAATATGGAGATGTTTTATGATTTTTTTTTATGATTCAATTCATTATCATAAGTTGGAAAAAATGAAACTTCCACACCAGCTGGGTCAGTATTTTGAACATCTGGATGACAATAAACAGAAAATTAAATCACTAAGAACTTTTATCTAGGTAGAATATAAAGGCAATCTATCTTGACCTGCAATAAATAGCACATTTTATTTCCCATTTTCCATTTTATTTCTTTTTTGACAATCACTTTAGAAATTTCAGCTGCCAAATGTTCCTGCAATTATTAAGAACACCGTAATAAAAAATGTAATTCTGGGAAGAATATGTGATAATAATATTCAATAATTTCATTTGGTTCTTGTTTTAAGTGCAAACAGCTCCCCATGTTAAGCACGAACCACTTGACAAACTTCAATAATGCAGGCATCATTATATCACAATGCACTTTGGAAAACTGCCAGGCAATGATGCATTTAGGACCTCAAAATTAAAAAGTCAATTAATTCAGAAAATGTGACTGCAGAATAAATCTTCTATGTGTGACATTAGGATCCTTCTAGAGCAAAGAGATTTTAGATTCCAGTTGCTCACATCCAAAAGTCCATGCACCTCTCTTTTGGAGATAGATGCTTTTTAGTCCTTCCAATTTGTTAATGTATGCATCTATAGAAAGCAGTTAAAGCATGCAATGAATGTTTTCAAATTATGAATTAGATAAGGGAGAGATGTTAATATTTAGCTGAGATTTAATTTCAATGGTTTCTTAAGCAATTAAATCTCATTAGGAAAACTGTAATTGCTAACAGCTGAAGTAAATTTAGAAAATATAGAAACTGGCTTGATTTTTATTAAAGACAAAGATGGAATGCTATTATTTTCTTCTGCAAGCATGATCTTCATCTGTGAAAATGACTCTTTCGAAGTCAAAGCCCTTTAGTTAGTGCTTCATGCTGGAAGATGATCACATATCAACATGAGCATGGCCAAAATATCAAGGTCGAAAAAAAGTCAAGTCCTGCTACAGTCAATCACATTAAGACAAAGAAAAATGCTTTGGAAAGTCCTCAGCTGCAGAAAAACAACATATCTCCATGATGTCCTATTTTTATATTCATAGATAAGAAAAATTAGTTCATAGGAGGCAGAGGAAGGAAAAGCATTTAGAGATTTATGACATAGAGTATAAAACAGAGCTCAAGAATACAAGAGCCACTGAGGCAGAGTAAGATACCTGAAAAATGAACCATCACAAAGAGGTGTTCAGAGCACTCCAAGCTTCAACATCATGTTGAGACCAAAAAGATAAGAAAGCAGCTCTGTATTACTCAATAGGAACTCACAAGTTACTCTTCCAACGTTAAATCAGGGCAAATTCCCAGACATTTGGAGAGAGAGGGCCACTTGTGCATAGCTGAATACTAAAACAGAGCCCAGGGCCATGTCCTGGCAGCTCAGAAGGGATGCCATGTCAATCTGGGAGCAATGTGCATGAGAATTCTGCTCCTGAGGGTTCCTGGAGGGAAATTTGGAGGCTGTGGAAGGAACAGATGAGGAATGTGGCTGGAGGAGCATTGGGCTTCAGGGTCACAGAGGTCTGTCACAAGAAGTGAGCTGAGAACCAGGCACATCACATTAGGTAATGCAAGTGGCTGGGATTTAGTCCATAAGTAAGAAGTACCAAGGTGACCAAACCAGATACTGGTGAGATCTCAGAGGCACAAGGAGTTTGTCATCATCTTCACTAAGTGTTGTTTCCATGAACATCTCAGAAGAGGCTCCTTCCAAGGGCCCTGTGCTGCATTTTTCTGTCCCCAGTGCCCCCGAAGAGGGAAGCCTGTGGATGCAGAGCTGGCTCTCCTCAGCCAGCTGGGTAAGTGAGGGGTTTGCTCACACATGTCACAGAGCTGCACACATTTTCCAAAGTGCACAGCACACTTTGACAAGCCCGGCCTTCACACAGAGTGGTTTAGTGAGGCTCCTCACACCCTCCTTCTCCAAGCCCCCAGCCCTACATGAAAGCAAAGGCAACATTCGGAACTAAGCTCTCTAAAAACGATTTGGTTCATTGCTACGCTTCAAGAATATGTAAAAAAACCCCATGCTGCTGCCTTGTGACACATCACAGCACGTCCCAGAAGTTGGTTTCAATGTATTTACTCTTCCAGAGCACCACGACTTTCAGTAAACAGGCAACATATGATGCAGTTCTGGTCTCATCACAACATGTTTAACATCTGGGAGAGCTGCCACTTGTGAAGCCAACCAGCGCTCTGCTGACAGACAAAGTGAGCATTATACTGAAATGCCATTCCTCAGCTGTTTGCAGAATTAATTTCCCTGTAGAATTTTCTAATTAGTTGGCTCTTTCCAGCCCGTTCCCCACAGAGGAAGCAGAAAGGAAGCAAAAGGCTAGCACCTGCTCCCAAAGCTCTGGCTGGGAAAAAAAAAATAAATTTAAGGATGACATATACAGTAAGTATTTAGGCACTAGAAAGCCTTCTATCCATGCAGCTGTGGGGATGAAGTAACTCCGTTTGAAAGCTTAATGGAGATTCTTCTGTGGGGAAGAATTTCCAGTGGCTCACATTCCAGACAGTTAACCACATTACCGAAGGGAAGAAAAAGAGATTTGTTCAAGCATTAAAAACTGTCTTTAAAAAAAATACAAAAAAATCCCCCCAATCTGTAGAAAAACACACATGAATCCAGACCTGAGGATGATTCGACAGTAGCTTGCTCCATTACCTATGGATTATTTTCAATCCTTTTTTTTTCTATGATTTTGAATTAAAAGCTACTATTATGTTGGAATGCAGTGTATGATAGTATCTTAGAAGGAACAACTAACACAACAGAGTTTGTTCCTAACTGAAGTGAGTCATTAGAACAAAAGAAATAATGTGGTTCTTGCTTTGAATTGACCTGCAGTAGGTCAATGTAAGGAAGAAAGCATGAAAGGTATTCCACGGAAATAAGGAAAAAAACAGTGCAAGAAAGGTAATTTGTATTTTGACTATTCAGCCACTTTGCCAAAACAATTTTTAAATACTGAATGTAAAACAAGATAATGGTCAATTAAAGTTAGAACGCGTGAAGGAAAAAAGGTCCCTTATGGAAATTAGGATAAGCCATTAGCACTTCAATAAACAGTTTTCACTGTGTTTCCACAGTGACTTTACAAAAAGGTAGGCCTTGCAGAGAACGAAGGTTTTAAAATAAGATCACAGATAAAATCCATTTAAATTAATTTGGTGTGGGTTTGAATCAGCACAACGTGTGACGTAGGTCCAGAGATGAGAAAGTTACCCATTAATAAAGCAGATTGTGTATTAAATGTACAGTTTTGTCCAAAGTTCCTGAAAGTTGTTTTTTAATAGATTCAATGTATATGTCTCAGTGCATGTATATATTTGGAGTACGGGTATGTGGGATTGAAAGACTTCTTAATTAATAATTTATTAATTTCATAGAATCAAGACAAGTTACATTTTCATAAACCCATAATTTTCCAGGAGAATTTTAGATAAACAAATACAACAGGGAGTGTAGGTAGGAGGAAAGGTTCTGCTAAAACCAAAGAAAAAGAAGATATAAAGTTGTCTGCCTGAGACAAATGCCCAGACCTTGTTCCCCACTCAGAGACAATTTTGAAAAAGTAACAAAATAAAGAGTGGAATTGTAAGGCAAGGCTATTCCTGCTTTTCACTGGCAATGTTTGGCAATTTTCTCTGGTGTTCTGGTTGTCTGTGGAAAATCCGTGTATGAATGGGTGGCATTCGTCCCTGTCATATGAGGTGGCGCTGACATGTCAATTCCAAATGTCTACAATTATTTCAAGTGGACTTTCCCCCAAAGCCTACATTGGAGAGGATAATTTCAAACTGCAGAAAACCCAAGTAAACAACACTCATTTATTTCCCTCGGAAGTGGTGCAGCTAAATTCATCTGTGGCTTTGAAAATCTCCCATGATACTTTAGCCTGGCCCATTAACTGCACCTGTTCTCTTTTTCTTTCTCTTCTTTTTTGGGGTAGAACAGGGTTGGGAGATGGGGAAGGGGGGAATTATTTCCATTTCAATAGCAAGTGTCTGGCTTTTAAAGGATGCATAGGTTATTTTATTTCATTACTGTCTAGGCATTTCAAATGAAATAACAATCTGAAACCTCTCCTCCCATTAATTCCCCCTTTTGAAATTAAAAGTAAATAGTGGAAGGGAGAGCATGTACTTGGAAAGACAAATGTGTGATAACTCACAGAAAAACATAATGTGACAGAGTACATCTATTTTCCTCAAATAATTATCGAAATTAATCCATTGTATAGGTTTCTTTATATTACACACTTTGACAAAAGTGAAATTTTTCAAAAGGAAAACATACCACTGAAATAATTTTCATTTATTTCTGATTTGAGGGTAGGCTCTCCATAAATAAAAGCATATATAAGCTGCTACAGGCAGCTTCTCTCCAAGACTTCAATCATAGAACTGACTTAAATTTAATTTACCTGTGGCTCATTAAAACAGGCTTTATTTTTTTCCCCTTAAAAAGTAAAGTGACAGTGAATAGCAATTTGAGTGTAAACAAGACATATTGTTCTCAGATTATTACAGGTCATAATATTTGACTTCAGCTAAATCTGAAGTCCAAAAAACAGGCTAAGAAAACCTTGGTTTGCTGGCGGAAATAACCCCTGCTTACTTCCCACACTCTGAAATTAAAAAAATATTAAAACTAAATATAGTTGAGTCAGTGACCTTTAAAAAGTCTGTTGGGGGATTTTATATTGGTTGTGTTCTGTTTTGCTTTTGATTAGTTTTGACTAGTTTATCTGCAAATCTAAAACACATGAAGGACCAAAGTCTGCAGAACGGAAAAGAGCGATTTTCTCTGGGAAGCCTCTAACCTGTCGTAAAGAAGAATTCTGCATTGTGGTGCAGCTGACTCAACCCTTATTTCTCTCAGCTACCAAGAAAAGCAAAAAAAAAAAGACAAGTTCTGTACCTTTCAACAAATTTAGAAAAACATTGGATAAATGGTTGAAGAGGAACGTTTGACTCAAACCCCAGAACACTGATTCAGGAGCCACCTTTTACTGGCTGCCATCTGAATGCCAACATTGATTGGTGTTACCTGTTTTTTAGGACACTGAAACCTCACACAGGCTGAAAGGCAAAGGCAGAAAATGTTGTTTTGCCTTTAGCTTTGACAAATATCTAACAGTGGTGAGCAT